AACCCCATTGAGTTCAATGGCGGGCGAAATCGCCTGCACTACAGGTATAGTATTAAAACACTTTTTTTTTTGTTTTTTGTTTTGTTTTTGCGTAAAGTTGAAATTGCGCATGTTAAATGCGCGTAAGATGCGACAGACCTGTACATTAGTTTCTAGAATGTATTCTTTTTCTTTTGAGTCTTAAAAATCTTTGGACACCCAGTAAACCCCATTGCTTCCTTTTGACTTGTCTTTGTATTTCATTCTTCCAATTCAGAGATGACAATGCTTATTTTTGAAACACAGGCCAGAGCATTGTTGTTTACAGCCCATTTCACTGCTAAGCCGAGACCCCAAGGGCCATATTTTAACCCAGCCTCTACATCTGTAGTCCACCATTTGTTCAGTAATTTTCTGTCAAATGCCATTTGTGTATACAGTTGTCTTCACACATGCAAATAGTTGTGCTTGCAAAATGGTAAATTCAAATGTTGAGGCCATTTAAATATATATGGTGCTAAGATTTTGGTGAGAGCTTTGGGTGAAGGCCCCTTTTAAGTTTTAGTCAAAGAAAAAACATGATGGTTTCATCCCATGATGCAGTGAGGGATGTGTTTACAACAACTTTCATCGAAATTAGACTCTTTTCTAGGAGACCGCAAGCTCCTCTGTGTGTTTCTTCTCTGTAAAACATCATTATGCATCTATAGTACTATAGACATATTATAATAAAACCATGTAAGTTAAAGCCGTAGACCTAGGACAAGACTTGGCTAATTAAGTTCTGATGGGTGCCGTTATTTCTAACTTAATACCAATGCGTATTACTGATGAGGCCTCTGCTGCAGGACACGTCGAGATGGAAGAAAGTGCATTTGACATCCTGACTTTGTCAAAATATAGGTAAAAAATTGCAGTTTTTTAAAAACAAACATTTTAAATTTCTTTGTTTTCAGAGCAGAATGTCATTGAGAGTGGAGGCGCAATTGGTTGCTGCCATTTGCTCTTGTGTGATAACATTTCACCATTAGTCAGGGACCAGCTTTTCATTATGGACCAGGGACTTGCAGCAGTTATGGACCAGGAAGGTGCCTTTATAGTGTCAGGTAGGTGACGAGGCACATGGACATGAAGATAAATTACTGATTTCAGAGCACTGTTGCTGCATGAAGGATTTACCTGTTTTATTCTACCCTTTCTGTTAATCATGGGATCTATTCAAACACAGATTTATAGATTTCTTTTTAAGGCTAGAAGGGACAATTACAATCCTCTAGTCTGACCTGCATAAGAGAGGCCATAGAACTTCACCCAACGATTCCTGCATCAACTTGTGGTTCAATTGAAGTGTATCTTTTTAGAATAACATATTGCCTAGTGGTCTTTAACATGTGATGGACATGTGTGGTCGTAGCACAACTTGTTTTATTACTTACTAATGGAGCTATCGGTATTATGTGTATTCTTTACTGTTTCATGATTAAGCTCCTTTGATAACTGTTAAAGTATACATTTAAAAAGCTTGCATGTTGTTTCTGGCAGATGGCTGTGGCTAATAATTATCCATTTTCTGCATCATTATTGTCTTTGGGATGGCATTTCGAAGTTCCTATGTCCATATTACTGGATGGTGCAGCCTTCGTGGTCTGAATGAAACTCCCCAGGAGGTTATATTTTTATTTAAACAAATTATATCCAGTAGAGTCTGTGGTTTAATGCAATGCTTTATACACAAATTTAATTAGCAAAAAAATCTAGTGCTCCCTTTTTTTTAACCTTAAATATCTGCCACCAGGAAAAACTTAGGGGGCTGAGTTTTTCCCAGTGAAATGTCTTGTACAAGGCCAGGCTGATAAGATACATGAAACACTTTGTTCAAACATTAGCAGATGTGTTTTTGCTGAGGCTGATGATTTGTGAGACAGTAAATCTGGTCTATGTCTGTATGACCGTTACAAGTCAAATGCAGTAGCTTGATACTGTCTGCTCCTCCTAGCCCTTTGAGTATGGCAGCCACAGCTCCTTTCAGCTTAGTTTGCAGTAGGCGGCAAGCAGTGAGATGTCTGACACTACAGGCATAAAAATAACTCGAGCAGTACAGGTTACAAGCTATATTTGGATGTTATCTATCTACTGTACATCTATTCATAAATCAAACTTCACTCCAGCAGTTTGAACTCATTTGACTTCAGCAAAATGGATAGAATGAAATGTAAAAGGATAGTCAAATGCATTCCAGACAATACATAGATCTGTGCAAGAAATAGTTTTCCTCATTAGTGGAGGCTCTTAGACTAAATGATTCAATAGCAACAATAAGTACTTGGGTATGTAGAAATGTGATAAACTTTGATCCAGTCAAAACAGCAGAGGGTTCACTCTGACAGATCCATTTCTGTATGCAGGGAGCTCTCCCTTTTTAACATCATTATTAGCAGTGCTATAGACCATCTACCGTGTTTCCCCGAAAGTAAGACATCCCCCGAAAATAAGACCTACTTCCAGTTTTGCCTCTCGCTGTAATATAAGGCATCCCCCCGAAAATAAGACCTCCCCGATAATAAGGCCACCCCGGAATATAAGGCCCCGAAGCTCCAGGAAAAATAAGACCTCCCCTGAAAATAAGACCTAGCGCATCTTTGGGAGCAAAAATTAATATAAGACACTGTCTTATTTTTGGGGAAACAGGGTAGTAATCTGAATGGATGACAATATATACAGTTACATAAGGGCCTAAGGAATATAACTACTCAGGGGCATAAGTGAATCGCTAACTGCTTACTTAGAGCATACCAGTACTTAGATTACAAGCTCTTTGGGGCAGGGACTGTCTGTGTTCAGAACCTAGCACAATGGGGTCCCGGTTGTTGATTGTGGCTCCCGGGCTCTACAGAAGTATAAAAAAATCAATGACTGACTGGGATTAGGATGAAACTTTTTTTTTTATGGGCATGTTATTGTACAGTTGCCCATAATGGGGTTTTTTGCATCTTCCACTGAAGCATCTAGGATTGGTTGCTAGTGTCTGAGACAGGACATTGGACTACCTGGATCACTGACTTGATTTTGTATGAGAATTCATATGTTCTTACGTCATCAGTTTGACTCAGCCGTAGCGAAAAGTCATTATCATTTGCTGGCTGTTTGCTGGCCTACCTGAAAGGAGGCCATCCAGTTCCTGGCAAATAGAAACAGACTGAAGCTGCAAGGATGACACCCCCTTCTCTTCGAGGTTATTGAGCCAGAGCACTGGTATTTGGTTAAGTTGCTAGCATGTTACAAATGTTCCAAGAACAGCTGTGAGGCTCAGAAGCTTCTGGTGCTCAAGCCTGTGTCAACTGGCAACTTTACAGGAGACTAGTTAAAATTCTCTTATGCAGCATTTCTGCGTTTTATATGCTTCTCTCTGAACAGCTGCTGGAAGATGCTCTTTATAAATCTGTCTCCTGAAAAGCTTTTATATCTGAGTGCCTTTAAAAGTTCTTCCCTGATCAGGGCCATAGCATCCAGCTCAATGGCCCGGGGACACGTATGGCATTATCCCCGGGAAGTAGACACTTCAAACAAGACATGTCCCGAAACAGGTCCTTGACTCCCTGAGATGGTGAACAGCCCAGGAAGATGTTTGTAGGGGTCTTTCCATATGTTTGCCAGACAGGTTCTCACCGCCATCACCACCATCTTGATGGGATGGTGTACAAATCTGCAACCCAGAATGGCACAGGGTATCTGGAGCCCTGGAGAAAGGAACCACAGCATCCATCTGTTGGACCTCAGGGTGATCAAACCATTGTTATGTTTTGTCCATGTCCTTCTCAGAACCAGAGTCTGATAGCTCTCCTTCTGCAGCAGAGGAGGAAGTGTCTTGAGTCAGAGGACGAATACCTTTGGGGCTTTTTTTTAGCCTTTTTTGTTTGGATTTTTTTGCATGTTTTGCAAGCCTGGCTATGCCATGAGAGGGTCTTTTGTGGCTAGTCTTGTGCAAGGCCTGGAGCCTTTTGGAAATTTCTCCCTTGGAGTCCTCTCCCATAGGCTCCCACTCCTCCCAGGATGGAGGATGGGGACTCACTGCCACAGTTTCCTGACTCAAGCTGGAAGGAGGGGTGGGAGGGGCTTTGGGCCAGGACCAGGTGCCCTGCTAGGGACTTATCCTTATGGTCCTGAATTGCCCCAGGACTAACACCATAGGCCGGCTGACTGAGGTCCTCCTCATCCTTAGAGCTTCACCCAGTTTGGCTCTGTTTCATGGTCAGGCTTTCCTGTGGTGGAGTCACAGCTTGTTGGGGGCTAGAGGTCGCAATGTGCCTGTTTGACTAAAATCTCCATGCCCTGGCAGCACGAGGGTCAGCTGGTTGAGAACAGACAGGGCATAATTTGCCTTCTGTGGATCCTGTTAAAAATTTCTTGCAGAGGGAACACTATTCGGGCTTAGCCCCGCTCTGGCATCCCTAAAAGAGGGCCGAGGAGCTCATCAGGGAGGCGCCACAGCGCTGCTGAATACCCTGTCCAGGAGGAGGAGAAAACGAAGCTACTTGTTTCTACCTGAAAATTAAAAAGGGCAATGGAAAGGTTGGGAGCAGAGAATGGTGACTGAGAGCTGCTGCAGAGGTGGAAGATCTGGCGGCAAGCTGGAGAAAATGGGCAGGGCCAGCATGGGCTGTGCTGCAGCCTTGAATTGCCTCTGGAAGTGCACACAGGAGGTGAAGGGCACATGTGTAGCAGAATTGTGGGAGATGCTGGGCTGCAGAAAAGGATTGTACATTGGCATAAATGCTAGGGCCAATGCCCAAAATCACTTTACTAAGCCACACGACATCCCCTGCAGAGTACACACTAATGAGGAGAGAAAAATGGATTTCAATGATTTAAAATGGTATCCTTTGTATTTCTTCTTTAAACTGAAGACCTCGATTACCTGAGAGTCAGGCCCATCACTAAAACGGGCTTCTCATCATGCACGGTATGGTCATTAATTCTGCATTTAAATACAAAAAGGACAAGCCAGAGGATTAAGTGTGAGAGCACTGGAATTTTTATTTGTTACCTCTAGGTACCGTGAGTTTGACATTACTAGGCAAGACCAGTGAATGAGCAGCAATACATTCCATTCATACCTGTGTTTCCAAAGCACCAAAAATGGAGCTAGATTTACTATTTAATCCTATAATCAATACTCTAGCTTGGACGTGCTGCCTCCTGTATTGTCCCTAATTTAGCAATACGTTATTATGCAGTTAGGGGTGTGAGGAAAGAGTCATCATGTAGTACCACTTTTACATCATCATAGGACTACAACATGCACATTCTACTGTGTGGCCCAAGCAACAAGAATACAAGTAGAACATTTATGGGTGCAGACTTGTTTCTGACAGATTTATGTTAACACCACCTATGGATTTTAGAAACCTTATTGGACAGGTACCTACAGCAGTTCATCAATTTGTGTGGGAACATTACATGCATGCACAAGTGACACAGTGGAAAACATAGCAGGAGCGGCAGCAGGACAGAGGACAAAGGTGAAATCCACGATGGGATGCTCTATGGAAACTGGAGACCTTCCTCAGCTTTCTACTGCGAGTCTCTGCTCTGTTAGTGAGGCCTGCTGGGCAACAGTTTTGTTCTCATGGCTGCGGAGTTTTGATACAACTTCTAGAAATGCCAGGTTCTGCACTTCCTTGTGAAGGGGTTCTGGAAAACAGAAGCAAGAAGGTTTCACACTTTGCAGTCTCAGAGCATGTCTCTATGCACATACCTAAATTTTCTTGGGCTGCTAATGAGACACTCTTTCCTTATGTTCTACTCTTGTACTCGAAACTAATTGAGGTGATGGAGCTAATGGAGCCCACACATAAAGAGGAGGTACTCTCATGTTACAGAGCACAGAAAAGCCTGGGTCAGAGAGGTAACCGTGCCTCTTTAGCAATAACCCAGAAAGGCAGCACCACTTTTGAGTGCAGTGATATCTACAGAAATAACTCTAGAGCCTAATTTTGTAATGTGTTGAGGATCCACAATTCCCACGCAATTCAGCTGGAGCGGTGGGGGCTCAGCCTTTATGAAATTCCATGCCCAGATGCCTTTCAATATGGTTACTGGTAGACGAATGTATAGCCAGAACCTCTCACCTTGTTCCCTATACTGGTCTTGCAAAGCCAGTGACCTCATCTTCAGGGCTCACCATAAAGCTCATCTATTGAAAACCTGTGTGTGTGTCTGTGTGTGTCTGTCATGGTTCTTTACCTGACACTGCATCACTTGGTTATTGTTAATCGGCTTATTATAAGTGTGTTCATTTTCACTGATGCATTTACAAAACAAGTATCCGATGCATGGCCTGGTCCCTCTAAAATGGTGAGCATTTGTTTTCTTTTGCTTTAAGAAATTAGCATGGATTGCTTTGTACATTATTGGGTACATAACTTAGGGTGGGAAAAAAGTGATGCAAGCCCATAGCACTGACTTGAATTGTTTTTCAAGTACATCATGAGTTCTGTTGAAACAGCTGGAGGCTATATATTGTAGGCACTGCATTTTTGAAAAAATGTGCTTCGGACTTTATTTATATGCAGGGTAGGAAATTCTAGTAGACTCCAAATCAGCAACAAGATCCAAATATACTTCTGCTTCCCCAGGTGCTGCCAATTAAACTGAGCCCTGGGCTGCTCATGAGAAATATGAACCTCTGTTTCAAATTAGCGACATTTCACACAAAGGATATGTGCTTCTTTTCCTTGTAGCAAATTTTCTGTGACATTTGTTTCCTGTTCACCTGCTTTCAATTATCTTGCAAGTTTTACCCCCCTACTGTGTGACAGCAGAGCCAGTGCTGTGCATCTGAGAACTTTTGTACACTGTGAACAATTTCAATTAAGCTGTTTTCACTTCTGGGGTTATTCTACGGTGTAAGCACTTTCTATCCTCCTACTTCCAGGATATCGCCATGTTTAAGCAGGTGTTACCAAATCAACTTTCAGCAACTTACTGAGTTACAATGGCAGAAAAGCTCTGTTTAGCCAGACTCTTAGGAGCCTCAGGGCCTTCATACATAGTGACTGTGTTAGGTTTGAATGCCCTGATTTTTTTTCTTATCCTTTAAGTTACACTGTTTACATTTCCCATTGTCATCATTCTCTCCTCTTTTAACACTCTGACTTCATTGCAACACCAGTTCCCAGCTGGCAAGAAATATTTATTTAACTGGTAATATGCAACTGCCAGCACAAAGACGTGAAATGTAATATCACTTCACTGTAACAAAGTATAGTGACAACAGCTTCCATTGTAGAAACCAATTATAATATCAATCCACTACTTCAGTGAGAGATACTTAGCCTCTATGGCCACTGCAGCTAAGAGTGTGCTTCCCAGCCTGGGGCGACAGATGTGCTACCTCTGCTCAAGCTAAAGCACACTAAGAATAGCAGTGTGGATGTTGAGGCATGGGTAGCCACCCTAATATAGGCCTGTCCATCCCCCTCGGTCTGTATTTGGGTGGCTAGCCTGAGTGCCACCCATGCCATAAAAACCATGCTGCTATTTTTAGCACGCTAGCACATCTGTCTACCCGCGCTGGAGGGCACTCTTGCCGGTGCAGTGTAGACATACCCTATAAAACCACAGGGCTTAGAAGCTACAGAGTTCTTAGCTGCAGATATTTTCTACGTGGATATTATTTTAAAATAACTTCAACAACCTCTTCACTCACTGGCAGAGAAAACATCAAAACTTACAAGCATAAATATTCAATCTATATAGAGATTGGTGACATAAAAGGGAAGGACTTGGTCGGGTGGAGAAGAAGATACATTTGCAGTTAATAGCAGGCTTGAAGTCCCAAAGTGGGGCACCCCTTTAAGTATTAGTTAAGACTAAAACACCACGTTTCCTTATTTTAGAGCAGGCGAGAGCTGCAGAAACATAGTCACCTCTTCCTGGTGTTAAGAACCAGGGGAATGAAAAATGCAAACATGTGGCAAAAACTCTGGGGCATGCTGCATGAAACAGGTAGCTCAAGGAATGCACAGACGCTAAAGGGGCAAGTCGAAGATCAACAAACAGGTAAAAGAAGCTCCTGAGAATTGCTCCCAAGACATTCATATTGAGAGGGACTCGGAGAACCACCAACACCAAATGGATTAAAAATGTTGGAGTTCAACACAATAGTGTGGATTTCATCACTAAAGCTGATGATAAGTGGGTCTATTATCACTTCACTGACTCTAAATTCTGCACTTTATATCCTGCCTTGTGCATATTGCTCTAAAGATCGCTCACCACCCCTAGAACCTTGCAGTAATATAGCAGGCATCATTAGCAAACACTGCAGTAAAAACTGAAGCCTTGTTTACACACACAAGTTGCATCCATTTAAATCAATTTAGTTAAACTGATGCAAACCCCTGTGTGGACACTTTTAAATCATTTTGCACCTGGTCCATACCAATATAGTTTAATTCAGTGTGCAATTTTGTGTGTAGAGAAGACCTGAGCTCCAGTTTTAATTTTAACCCCATTCTTTTTTATCTTTTTAGCTGCTTGTAAATTTCTCAAATTCTGTTTGGGATGAAATTTGATCCCACCCTAAAATGCATTAGTTTTGGGAAACCTGAGTAAAATCAATTTAATCATTTTTTAATAGCGTGGGAATGAAATGCTCTCCCCAGATATTCCTACTTAAATTTTGTGTATCCCTTCCTCAAAAGGCTGACGGATAAAATGCCAAACTTTGGCTCATTGCGCAGTCCTCAAAACAATCCAAAGTTTGAAGGAAACTGGCTCAATAATTTTAAAGTTCTGAATGTTTAAAGGTGTCATGTTTACAAGGGATGTTAGAACAGGTTTTGTTCATCTTTACACAGTGCCCTAGAGTAAAGTGGCTCAGAAAGTTGGCATGAGCAGTTAAGGCCTATAGAGCACAGCGCTTTCCCCAGGGAGGGAATACCACCGCCCCCCCCAGCAAAGAGCTGTGACTCAGGCACCATTTTAAGTATTTTAGCAGTGCTTGTTTCTTTTATCACACACTTCTATTTATTCTTTCTATTTTCTTTTTCCATTTTCTAGCATGTCTTGTTTTTTAATTTTTTCTTCTAATTTTTTTCTTTCATTTTTTTAAATTTAGAACAAAAATAAGGAGATTCATTGCGGGGGTGGGGTGGGGGAGAACCAACCCTAACTTTACTGTAGTGTTAAGAAAAACTAAGTGTGCAAATGATAGGAAACATGGAGTTAAAGGCAAATGCTAAGCTCCCTGCTATATACTTGTGTATATGCACAGATATGCCAAAGTGCTAAGTGCCCCTGAGGTCCCACTGAAGTCTGGAAATTAGGGAGAACTCAGCACCACGCAGGAGCTATCGTCTGAGTTATTACTATTACGTATTATTTATCATGCAAAAAATATACTTTAATATTATCCAGCACTGAGTTGTTATATAGCCTTCTGTACACATGGTAGAACTGATTTCCTTCTCTCTCAACACCAGGGCCGGCTCCAGGCACCAGCTTAGCAAGCAGGTGCTTGGGGTGGCCAATTCAAAGGGGAGTCAGTCTGTCCGGTATCGGGGCGGGATGTGCGGGTCTTCGGCGGAGGGTCCCTCATCCCCTCTCTTCCTCTTTGAGCTGCCGCCGAATTTCCGCCGAAGAGGAAGAGAGGGAGGACCCGCCGCCGAAGTGCCGCAGAAGAAGCGGCGCGGTTGAGCTGCCGCCGAAGTGCCGCTGCTCGTCTTTTTTTTTTTTTTTTGCCACTTGGGGCAGCAGAAAAGCTGGAGCCGGCCCTGCTCAACACTATAAATTAGGAGTGACTCCACCATAGTCGGTGGGGTTATGTCCATGTACAATCAGTGTGAGTGGAGAACAGAGCCCAGTGTATGTAGTAGAGGCGCAGCATCCAAGCTGAAAAAAGAGAGTTTAGTTTTTAAAGGTGGGGGTGGGGATGAGGGGAAAAGCAAGAAGCAGAATAAAGCAGCACCTTGTAAATACTCACCAGATCCCATGAGAGCACAGATCAACACCATGGAGTTGTATTTGATTTCTGGAGCACTCCTCTCATCTGAGAGCAGTCTGTGTAGAATCTGGACTAGTTTAGCATTTTCGAGATCCTTCTCAGCAGTGACTGCAATACAAATAAGTGAAAGTTGTAAATCCAAGAATATCATCTGTCAGTTTTGATGCACAGTGTTTAGCCACGTACTGAAATATTTATCTCCTGCACTGTAAAAGTGGTGCTGTGACGTCTTCAAGAGTTGCCTGATATGAAATGAAATATATATATATATATATATATATATATATATATATATATATATATATGTTACAATGTTAAGTCCTTGTGAAATAGTTTTATATTAAACTAAAATCCTGATGGAAAATCCACTCTCATTCTGAATACTGAGAAGCCAACCCCTGCTAGCCTTCCTCAGTCAATACTCGTGTTGACTAAATGCTTTCCAGATTTTTGAGGGAATAAAAACGGAGGGTGTGATCTTTGAAATCAAAAGGAACTGAGGGTGCTCAGCACCTATTCAGAATGCTCAATACTTAGTAGGATCAGGCCTTGAGTAAGGAATACATGATTTGGGCAAAGTTTTACAGGGACACTGTCAACTTAGTTTAGGCCCAAAATGTAATTGTTTGAAGACAAATGGGGAGGGAGTAAAAGACCAAAATGAATAAATATATTTTTTTAAATTTTTTTTTCAATGTGATGAATTTATTTTTATATCTAATGCTTCTTTGCAGTGTTTTGGAAGCAGAACACAACAGCATTCTGCTAGTGCATGAGAACAAGAGATGAAACTGAACGCAAAAGTAAGTAATGTTGAACCATCTAGTTCTATTGTCCAAGATGAGGGAAGTACAAAGAGCAAGCAAGCAGGATAAATGGTGGAAAGGAAAATTAATTTTTTAAAATTCTTTCAACTTTAGCCAACTTTAAGGTGTTAGCAACACAGGACATGGCATTTAAAAATACATGATTTTTATATTGATATTATCAATCTATTTTTGTTGCTGAGAAATTTAATAAAATCGGTAATAGCCATTATCTGAGCAGCACCCACCATTTTACTAGCTTCCTTATGACTGCACCAGCAGCTAGCCGATGTCCTATCTTGGCAGTTCTCACTAAACTGGCTTAGGATGTCTACATTCAAGTGTAGCCAGAACTAGGTGCTATTAAAAACCTTTCCCTAGATTAGCCTCCTGACTAGGCTAGAACCATTTTTTTAAATCACATGGTTGATAGTGTCTCCAGTCTGAAATGTAATTATAAATATGACATCCTAGGGTTCCATGCGTATCATCTCGGAGTCCCACGGCATCGTTATGTAAAAAGATGATTTTTCTAACTATTAGTCATTGCTAACTCTACCTAGGATCTGAAAGTCATTCTTGGGCCTTTCTAGTTCACACATCATCACCTGTAATAAAGATTCTGCAAGGCAAACTTGAACTGTACAACCCCGTTTTTGCCTGTATATGGATATGTTAACATAGATTCCCATGCTCATGAAAGCAAATATCTTGTCAAACTGGTAGATTTCTGCAGGATCCCATACAGCTCTACCCACAGAACTCACTTATGCTTGGATTTTCCATCCCTAAGCCTCTCTTGAGCACAGACTAAAGGGAAAATAAGAAGAGCTAACCATCAAGATACTCACCTAATTCTAATGCTGCTATTAGTGCCAGAGCAACAAGAGCTTCGTTTTGCATTATTACATGTTCGCTAGTTGCCATGGTAGCTAAATGCTTGATGCCACCGCTCTGAACAATGGTCCTAATTACATCCTAAAATAAATAAGAATAACAGGACTGAAAAAAGTTTGTACTACACATTAACAGACTTGAATAATTTAGTTGTGATGTATGCTGTAAGTACATGTATTTACATTTACATAATACACGTGTGTTTGTGTGTATAGGCCAGTGGTTCTCAACAAGGGGTACGCGTACCCCTGGGGGTACGCAGAGGTCTTCCAAGGGGTACATCAACTCATCTAGATATTTACCTCGTTTTAAAACAGGCTACATAAAAAACACTAGCGAAGTCAGTACAAACTAAAATTTCATACAGACAACGACTTGTTTATACTGCTCTATATACTATACACTGGAATATTTATATTCCAGTTGATATATGGTCAAAATGAGAAAGTCAGCAATTTTTCAGTAATAGTGTCCTGTGCCACTTTTGTATTTTTTGCCTGATTTTGTAAGCAAGTAGTTTTTAAACTTGGGGGTATGCAAGACAAATCAGACTCCTGAAAGGAGTACAGTAGTCTGGAAAGATTGAGAGCCTTTGGTATATGTATTTATACATATTATAACACACATCTGGTTAAATTATGTAATTATTGGGTAATTACATAATAATACACACTGGTTAACCAAAAGTTTGAATTAAGCAATAATTTGGTTAAGTCTGTTCCCCACCCCTTTTCCAGGTTATACTGGATGAGATTGCTATCGTGCTTTGCAGACCAATTCGCTCTAAAAGGGACTGCCCTCCAGCTAACCCTGAGCCCCATTTAAAATCAGCCAATCTGCAAAGACAACTAGCTTTCTTCTCATTATCCTGTGGTGTTGAAACCCAGCCTGTTTGAAGCTGGCTAGCATCCCTTTGCTGTGCTCGGGGTATGGAGATCCAGAAGGACTCTTTTGTAAGCTTGGCTTTCAATCCCCCATCATCCAAAATGCCTCTTGTTCTTGGATTTTGGGATGACCCCCCAGACCTTTAGAAAAGGGAGGTTGTTCTGTATTCCAACTTATTTAATAATGGAAATTGTAGACTAGGAAAATGTGAAAAACAAAGTACATAGTCAGAAAGTGAATAGTATTCTCTCGAAACTGGTAATAAATATGAGACCATAAGGAATAAAAGTTACAGAACACTGCTGTATTTCTTTTTGTTCTAAAGCCAGCATTACAATAATTTTCCTGTTGCCCAAGACCTAGGAAACAAAAATGTTAACTGGATTAAATGCTTTTAGATATTTAAAGGGACTCTGTCAATGTTTTTAGGTCCAAAATTTTACTTGTATTTGTAATAAAATGATGGATGAAGGCCTCTGAGTTCTTTATCTATTTGTTTTTGGTTATTTTTTTAAATAGTCTTTTTCATAGGACCTACAAACCTCACACTGTTAAGTGCTTCTCCTAGAGCTAACACCAATCAATTTACTTTCAAGCTTCTGAGATGTTGTTACAAATGAGAGTAAGGGGAGAAAAGAAACTGTTTAAATGAAATACTACATTGTGTGTCAGTTGTTCTTTCTTCTGAGCGTACGTTGCGTCTGCAAAATATGTGTCTAAAAATCAGATAACTGTGTAGGCTGCAGGGTAGCTGCACAGGCAAATGCATTTTTGTGCCTGTTTCGCAGGTGCAACTTAAGCACCAAGGTTTGAAAATGTAGCCTGCCTTTTAAATGAAAATTTGATTTGTTACTTCAGTCCTTTTAGTAAGATGATTAAGTGAAATGCAATGACAAGGAGATGCAATAAAATATATCTTTCTATGCTCCCCTTTCTAACTGCAGCCACAAGCCAAAGACCACAAACTGAGCCACATGCTTAGAATGATTTATGTTCTAGTGCTTGCATAGATTATTGCACTTAGATTTTGTGTGCAAGGAAACAAAAAATACAAGCATAAGCCTGGAACCTCAAAATGTCTTCAGATAATCATGTTGAAGCTTCACATTTCTCAACATAACAACTGCATGGAAACACTTGGGACTAGGTTAGTCTCTGAGCTTACTGCCTAAGAAATTCACCACCAAAAAGCTCTTCACTTAATTTTGAATTACCTAATGCACATGAATATGTAAAAATTATCTTTCTTTTACTGCAACAAATCCCTTCTAATTAGACTCCTCTCTACTAAGTGCTGAGGATGTCCTGCAAAGCTCTGCCTTCAGCTTCAGTCACTGGGAATTGAGACAAAGAACCTCTCACCATAATTTTCTACAGAAGGGCCTAAGTGACTTGAAGCCCAAGTCCCATTTTCAAAAGTAACTCAGATACTTAGGGGCCTAAGTCTCTTTGAAAGTCAGTGGGTTCTAAACATCTAAGTCACTGAGGCACTTTTGAAAATGTCACCTTATCTTTTGTAGGTGCATGAATTTAAAATATGAGTGAAAGTACAGTAAAGAGCCATGCAGCTATGCCAACATCCAAATCTAGAGGGCAGTGCAAGTATAAAATTAAAAAAGAGTAAACTCATTTTTCCACTGTGTTGGACAGTCCTTGAGCTTCTAAAAGCTTCTTCACTCTGTGATTTTTGCTAAATTCTATGTCTAATACAACATTAGCTGTTCCACTCCAGTGTTAGTATCTTTGCTTTAAGTTTTTGAATGCAGTCGCTCTGCCACAGACTCCTAAAAACTCACATCTCTGCTCCCATGGTTTCTTAAAATAGCAGCAGAATTCACCACATGCACATGTGACTTGCAGACAGCAAGAAAGAAAGGTATTCAGAATTCTGGGAAAAATTAACATTGACTAATTTTAGAGGCTGAACACAAACCATAGGATGGGCAGGAGAAATATGAGAATACCCTTTGCATAGGAACTGACCGTGTAAAAGGGTAACTACCCATAGATCCCACTGACTTAAATGGGAGCTGAGTAATCTCAGCATCATGCAGGATCAGGCCCACAATGCACCTCTGTTTCTGCTCTGCAGTGCCATGAATCAGGTCATTCTTAACTTGTGAACATATTTCTCAAGTAGCATTTCCCAATATCAGGCTTGATCCTGCAGTGCATCTTATACAACGCATCACACTGAATCAATGGGTAAACTACAGGCCTGGCATAAGGAGGAACTACTCCCAGTGGTTGCAACAGGAGTCACACCTGCTAATTCCAGAGCTTTGTGTGGTCCAATATGACTACACAGATAAGCAAGGACTGCAGGTTCTGGTCTTTCATGTATTTTGTATAAACTCTGTGTAGTGTAGCTAACATGATGAGGCGTGTGCTAGAAGTGCATTGACAGACAGCTAGTAGTATCTTTGTACCTTGAGTATACACAAGTAGACCTTTGTAAGAAAATGTTTATAATTGAACAACCCTTTGAAAGCTTGAAACTGATAAAGAATAGCATTGAAAGTTTTGAAACACTTTTTATACTAATGAGCCAAAATTCTTTCTCTTTTACACAGGTGTAAATCTGGAGTAGAGTCATTGATAGTGAATGGAGTTACTGTGGATCTACACTAGTGTAATTCAGAGCAAAATTTACCACTCTGGCATTTATAAGTTACAGTATAAATATAGGTAGGTCAAAATTTGGGCCTACTAATCTAGACTGTGTCCCTTTAACAGGCTTCATATTTATGAAACAAAATGTTTTTTTAATCAAATAATTAGCATTTATATTCAACTTGGTGCTAATGTCTGATTGACAGGCCCCCCGGAGCCAGAAGTCCCATGTTGTCACACAGTAGAGGTAAGCACAGGAATTAGCCATGCAGTTTCCTTTTCACTCTGTCCCACGCACTTGGCTCAATCCTAACTAGATGGATCATTTCTAGGAGATGACAGGTAAGTCTCCATGTCCAATTAATCTTTGGCCTTTCTTCTGAGAATACCAACAAAGCTGCTTAATGCCTCTCCAATAGAAACTGGAGACAGGTCACTGGCTTATTTCAAACAGTCATCAGAAGGGGACTTTTAAATCAACATGGGTCCGTATGGGATTCATATAGATGACCTGGAGGTTGTCAATCTCCATTTGTCAATCTTCTGAGACATCCAGTCACATTACAAAATATGGCCATAATTCTGCAAGCTAATCTGCTTGGGTGGACTCTCCTTGATATAACTGGGGCTCACAACAGGCACAGACTCCATTCATGCCGATCTCATTGCAGGGGGTCAAGGTCTGTATTTCTAAACTGAAAATAGAGCATGGCATGACTTTCTTTTAAAGACTCTCCTCATGAACTGGATTTTTTCACCAGTAACTTACTTTTGATTTGCTATGTCGTATAAGTGCAGAAAGCAGTCTGTTTGACTCCCCCATCACACCTGCATGATCCTTGGCTTCACACCATTCCACCAACCGTTCAACCAATTTCACATTCTTTCCCAGCTGTTCAGCAGCTTCTGCTACATATGACACAAGCCAAAATAAAACAAGGTTGTCATTTTCCAGCATGTGTCAGAAATGTATGCATGAAAGTTTCTAAGAGGAAGAAAAATCGTAAAGAAGAATCTTGTTACTCTCTGCTAATAGACGGAAAGTCCCAGTTTGCATCGGTGAGCAAAACTGGTAAAAAATCGGGGTGGGAGGGAATTGCATAAAAAATTTCACAACATATTTTCCTGGTACATTTTTTTTTTTCCTTTTTCCTGGATGAAATTTTAAAATTTGAAATATTTTGACCATTGAGGTTTGTGGAATATTGAATATGAGAGACAAAAAAGGTGACAAAAAATCACATTCCCAGTAAGCCAATTCATAGATCTATAGATTTTTAAGGCCAGAGGGACCATTGTGATCATTTATCTGACCTCCTACATAAAACAGGTCCTAGGACTTTCCTGAACTAATTCTTTCTTCAAATCCAATAGCTGTGACTGAACTAGAGCAGATCTTTTTAGAAAAACATTCAATCTTGATTTAAAAATTTCCTGTGATGGTGAATTCAAGACAATCATCGGTAAGTTGTTCCAATGGCTAATTTCCCTCACTGTTAAAAATGTGCAGCTTTATTTCCAGTCTGAAGTTGCATAGCTTCAAATTCCAGCCATTGGATCTTGTTGTCTACTGGAATGAAGAATCCTCTTTTATCAGATTTCTGTTCCACATGTAGGTACTTATAAGCTGTGATCAAGTCACCCTTTAACCTTCTCACTGCCAAGATAAATAGATTGAGCTCCTTGAATCTTTCTCTCTAAGGCATGTTTTCCCATCCCTTAATCATTCTTGTGGCTCTTCTCTACCCCCACTCCAATTTTTCAACATTCTTCTTGAAATATGGACACTAGAACTGGACGCAGTATTCCATTAGTGGTCACACAAATGCCAAATACAAAGGTAATATAGCCTCTCCTCTCCTACTTGATATTCTCAGTATATAGAGCGCTGCATCACTCCTTTGAGGGGAACAAGTGAAAATAAAGATAGGTACCACTGGCTTTGTTCTGAAGATGATAGGGCCGTGCCCCTCCTTCACTGGAAGGAAAAAAAGGAGCAACAGAACTGGCAACTGTCCTATCTTCCCTCAGCACAGAACACAATAGCCATCTTTACCTTCACCACTGTCACCTCGATGGCTGTTCTCATGAAACACAAGTACAGAGGAAGTGGGGCTGCCTCTGAAGGGACGGTGGGATTGGTCTAATGGCTTCCATGTTCTATTCATCTCTGCCATCTAGTTTCTTTACTCCTGCAACATTTAACAAGGCCTGGGGAACAGTGGAGAACCTGGTCCCTCAACAGCATCAGTGGGAGCAGGAGCCAGCTAGAAGAGAGATGGGGAAGCACGTTATGTGCCCTTGTCCTGTCTCAGGATGGTACTGAGTACCACGGTTGGATTCAGAGGTGATGTAGCACTGTCCCATTGACTCACAAAGCAGTTTGATGTCCCTCTTTAATGACCTGATTTCCAGAGCTTGCCAATCTGTGCTGCAGCGAGGAGCAAATCAGCAAGTCCGCACTCAGTGCAGAATTGTACTTTACCATTGTGCAGATTAGTAAGGCTGTCCTATACTTTAGTTATAGATTTGCTGTGGTATATTCATAAATATACCACTATATCATCCATTGCTATTGGGTAAAAGGATGTAAATATTCAAAAATGGAAACCAGACATGTACTGTAATTACAAACCCTAGTGAATTTTACAAGGACTGTAGTATTCACAAACTGTGGCTGAGGGTTGCTGGAAGCTATTTGATATAGCAATTTAAAAAGATGCTTGGAATTTAAAATTAAAGAAAACACCAAAGAGTCACAGAGACTCTTTATAGCCTTCTGTCGTTTGCCACTTTATTTATGATAGTTCTAGCCACTATGTGATAGCTGCAAATTACATAACATTTATTCAGTTTGAAATAGCAATTTATCAATTATTAAATGGATCAGCCCATTCAAGGGTGCTAGATACAGAGAAGGTACAGAAAAAGTGGGAACTGAGTAGCACAAAATGAGCCTCAGCTTAGGTCAAAACACCTGCAGTTAGATACATATTCATAATATGCCAGTTTAGAAGAATGCTGAAGTAGAAAAGTAAATAAGTGTCTGAAACGTGTTCTGATTGTCCATGGTAGTCAATCCAGAATATTTAAATCAGCTCATGTTTCTCTCATTGTGCTAAGACTTAAGAAAAAGTAAAAAAACAAACAAAAAAAACAAACAATTTTTCTTCTAGAAGAGCCTTAACAGATTATACCAACGAGAGAATCATAGAACATAAAGAACTGCTTATTTTACCTTGTGCATCTATTAACATTCTTAACGTTCCCAGCAGCTTGAATTGAACAGGGGGCATCTCCGATCTGAGAAATTTCAGTACCGCTTCTGCAACGCCAGCTGATAGCATCTTAGCCTTATTTACAACTACATGAATAAAGAACAGAAATTATCTCAGAAATCATTTTTGATGATGCATTTAAACTAGATGGAGACTGTGTCATTTCCAAGACAGTGCAAGAGCAGCTTTTCTACACACACTGAAAAACAGCATACTAATGTGTACATTGTGAGCACGCACACACTCTATATAAATAATTTTATGGTTATGTAGACAGTGTGAATTTGAAATGTTTTGTTCTTATTCATAAATCTAATTCCCAGTGCTCAGTCCTGAGTATATCAGCTGAATGCCAGAGTCCTCTACGTGGACAATAGCTATGTGAGCAGGAGAAGAGACCATCTGGAGAGAGAATTCCACCCTAAAGGTTTGGAATAGACGCTGTGTACTGAAGGATCAGGTTAGTAGGGGGACCTCTTGCCCTGCCCCAATACACTGTGCAAACAGCAGTGTGGGGTATCCTGCAGGGAGTGTGCATTCCTTGTGCAGCCTCCTAAATCCTCTCTCATCCCATGTAGTGAGACTACACTGATTCCACCTCCATAAGGCTCTCCACAAGTGGTGAGGAGGGGACAGAGTTTGCCCCGTACTATGCTTAATGAAAGTGATACATTAGTTCATATTCTAAATAGTACTTAACAGGAAGTACCCTTCTGCGGCAGCTATTCCTTGGGTTCCGAAGGTTCTAGATATTGGTTTGAGACCAATCCTGCACGTATTCATGGGAGGCTGGCCCACTGAAGTCGGTGGGATGACTCGACTAGATAAGGTGAGCAGGAGATGGCTCTCGAGCATTGTTAAAGGGATATGAATTTAGTAGGTATTAATGTTCAGTCTCAGGAAGTTAGTATTTTTCTAAATTAAATATATGCAGTAAAAGAAGAGTAAACCGATCAAAGAGGATGATTTTTGGCTCAGATCATTGGAAAGTATAGGTTTTACATATACATTATTTATATATTTGCTTTGGCTTTTATGTGAATATTCATGTTTTATGTTCAGGCAATCAAAAATTGATACAAATGATTAAAAATGACAATATTTAGGACTTGGATGGCCCATTACCTTCAAAGATTGTTACAAACATTAACTAATCCTAATGGATCAAATGTCCTGATAGGCCTTCTCTAACGCTAACATCTGTGGGGGAAAAAAAGCTCTGAGAAATTACAGCAAGATATGGTATATCAGAAAAGTGAACAGTTCTCTTTGCGAAGATGGAAATCCTAGGTAGGATCCCTTATTAGCCAGAGAGAGCCCAAAATGATGCAGAACAGTTGCAGTGCCAAGGGAAGTGACACTGAGGTCTCCACATATTGCAGAGCCAGGCAGCACAGCAGCTCTCTCTGTGGGAGTACAGGGTGGATGTATTGCGGGACGACAGTGGCAGAAACATAAGCAGTGGGTTTGTGACCTACACAGAACTGCTGGCCACCAAACCCTCCCAAAAGATGTAGAAGTGGCCGTGGCCTAGCTGCACAGATGATCGCTGGCCTGCCTCCAGGTTGGCTGGGGACAATGTCATCCCCCACATTGTTTTCCCCTGGGCGTTGCACTGGGAGCCAGAATTCATCCTGAGAGATCAGCAGTGCGACGTAAGCCTTACCAGGAATAGCCAAGTTTCTGAGTGCACTCAGTGCTGCATGCTGCACCGTTACATTTCCATCTTCCACATGTCTGTCTAGTAGATCCATCAGCTTTTGAACTATCCCATTATCCACCATATGGATGCAGTTTCCATCTGCACAAGACCAGATGAGTCACTTGTATGCTCACAATAAATCTTAATATGCATACAAGAGCTTCTCAGTACAAAAGTGTCATTTCCCCCTCTTCCGAATTTTACAATTCAGGTGAAGTGTAGCATCTGACCACCAGGGTCAACTTCAATTACAGGAACAATTATGCATTTACAGTAAAGGAATGGGAAATAGAGCAGAAGGTAAAAATTGAAAACTCCAATAGCACGATACAAATATATATTTGAAAAATGCTGCTTGAGGTAGGAGTTTCTAGAGTTGAGAAATTCCTCAAAAAGGGATAATGATTCTTTAGTAATGTGTCTGAATCTTCAATGTAGAAAAAAACAGAATTCTAAAAGCAGGGTTAACCTCTTTCAGAAACCCAGCAAAGGTGTGCAAAACTACCAATGCTATCATAAACCAAACTAAAAAATCCCACCACAACACAGGCTTGATTCATAGCTATACAGAAAGAGCACATTAAAAGGGTTCAAACAGGCAAACATAAGCTGTTATAGCATATTCTTACCATTTCTTGCAAAATTTGCAATAGCCAGTGCTCCTGCAAGCTGTAACTGATGGTTATTGGAAGGAATCCATGAAAGCACCCTTTGGAAGACGCTGCCTTTCCCTCCTTCAAATAACTTTTGCATGGATTCATCTGGAGGCAAAAAGTGTAGAAAATCAACATGCAAAAGAAATGTTAGTTCAAATTCTTCCCTCTGTTATATTTGTGTAACTCTATTGACTTCACTAGAATTACTCTAGATTTACAGCGGTGTAAGAGTACAAAATCTGGTCCACTGAATAACTAGCTAGCAAGTCCTTAAAATAATTTTTAAAATGTGTTTTATATATTAAAAGTAAAATTAAGCTGTAAAATGTGACATAGATATCCTCCGCTGCTTTGCAAAATATACTAAGATACTGTACTCACCTCCGAGTAGTAGTAAAACCATAAGATCAGAGGCTGTTTTAAGTTCAGCTATGTCATCCTCTTTGTCACTGTCTACAGTCTTCTGGACAATCTCAAGTAGACACTCGACCAGGCCCGCTTCAACCAGCTGCAGTTTAATGATATCTAAAAAATATCACAAACACAATAGTCATCATTGTGATAGAAGTATGGTGTTTATCATACACACGCACACACAGTAGCTATATTGCGCAAATAGGGAGTAAGGGGAGCAGACTTTCAATACTTTAGTGTCTGCCTCAGCAACAGTAAAAATAATTTGATCTTGAAAGGACTAAACACTGTAGATTTATTTTCTTGTTTCAAGTTACATTAATTGCCAGAGCAAAATTCTGTTTTTGTTACATCAAAAAGACTCTACTGATGCCAAATTAGTGGAACTCTCATAACTGAGAGTAGAGCTAGGATATCAGTGTCCAAAAGCATTTTCTGCTCTGCCTTATAGGTAGATTATAATGTTGCCTCCCGTATTCTCAATAACATGATAATTTGTAAGAGAAAAAAATATAAAGTGCTTTAAAAGAGACTGAATTCATCTGGGGATTTGAAAAACACTTGAAAAGCCGTGGCAGATGCCTCTTGCATTTCATACCAGCCACAGACAAATACTGAATGATAAATAAGACAATTAAATCAATGTAATGTAAATAACTTGCGGCCACACACGAAAAGGTTTATTTGGTTTGATGTGGTCCACTAGCTGTATTTTCAAGGGATGCTTGCTCTGCAAGACATCATCATATCTTTCTCTAGCAATCATCTACTATTCTGTTCTATGATTAGTTAATATTTGTGTTATAGTTACACCCAAAGGCCAGGCTGTTGTGCCAGGCACTTTATAACACTGCAGTCTGTCCCTGCCCCCAAGCGTTTACTATGTAAAGACTAGATGTGTGGCTTTTAAGCACAGTTCTGAGTAAAGGGTGGTGTCTATATTGCACCAGTAGGCTTTGTGACTTGGAGACCTGCCTGATTTACAGCTGTGCCCCATGTTCCTCCTTGCACTCCAGGGGGCAGTAGTTTGCCACCAGACAATACCACCAGGTCAGCTCAGCTCAGCTCTGGCTAGCTAATATGGGGGAAAGAACCAAGGTTTCACCTGCTTCCTGTGCACCTTCTCCATGGGTGGGGAATAAGTAGGCATGCAGCTCACTCCGATGTGCCCAGACCCAAGGTCTGAGCAGACCATGCAGGAGTGTAAGGGGAGTTCTTACTCCCTTGTTCGGGCGCAGAGTCCAAGGCACAATCTCTCTCTATGAAAAGAGCTTGGAAGATATTTAAAAATTCTGAAGACGTCCTGACTAACAAGGAAGGGAAGAGACTCAGTAAACTGTAGCTTTCTGAATGTCCTCCAGGAAAAGTGAGGAAGCTGGCAGTCCTGCTCATTCCACTCTCCTCAGGTCACGTCTTACACTCACGTATGGTGCACGGCATACAGTGTACGTAAGCTCTTTGGGGCAGCACCTAGCACGGTCGGATCCTGGTCTATGATTGGGGCTCCTAGATGCTATTGCAATACAAATAATAAATGTTTATTATTAAAATGTACTGTCATCCTTTCCATAGCTAGGCACAACAGAGTGAGCTGTGGTTAAACCTCTTACTTTGGAATTTGCCTGCTTTTGTCTCTGTGTCAGAACCCAGGGCTATGTGCGGGGATGTCTGCAGAAGAAGGAATCCCACCAGGCTACTTCTCCAGATTCAGGGTTGCAGTGCCCCAGCGCTGTGACTGCCTTCACCCCTTAACAGTAGCTATACTTGGCCCAGCAGATCTATGTAGTCACAGATCTACCAGCTCGGCTGTTGCTCTGGCTTGCCCGCAAATCACCTCACCACACTGGCCCTGGAGCCTTCTTGGAACTGCACTCCATGCAATCCCCTGTGGAGGATCCTTGCATGCTGACCTCCCACCAAATTAAAATGCAGACGCCCTCCCCCCCCCCGGACCGGTGGCCAGGACCCAGGCAGTGTGAGTGCCACTGAAAATCAGCTCACGTGCCGCCTTCGGCACGCATGCCATAGGTTGCCTACCCCTTGTCTAGATCCATCCTCTTTGGAACCCCCTTTCAGGTAGTTGAAAGAAGCTATCAAATCCCCCCCTCATTCTTCCATTCTGCAGACAAAATAATCCCAGTTCCCTCAGCCTCTTCTCATAAGTCATGTGCTCCAGCCCCCTAATCATTTTTGTTACCCTCCGCTGGATTCTTTCCAATTTTTCCACATCCTTCTTGTAGTGTGGGGCCCAAAATTGGACACAGTACTCCAGATGAGGCCTCACCAATGCCGAATAGAAGGGAATGATCACGTCCCTCGATTTGCTGGCAATACCCCTACTTATACAGCCCAAGATGCCGTTAGCCTTCTTGGCAACAAGGGCACACTGTTGACTCATATCCAGCTTCTCATCAACTGTAACCCCTAGGTCCTTTTCTGCAGAACTGCTGCCTAGCCATTCGGTCCTTAGTCTGTAGCAGTGCATGGGATTCTTCCGTCCTAAGTGCAGTACTCTGCACTTGTCCTTGTTGAATCACACAGGTTGTGCTGCATTAGGCTTCCCATGGGCCTTGGACAGCAAGTTTCAGTGCTAAAATAATTTCAGAACAAAATGTGAGGGTCTGTTCTTGTCTTTCACATGCAGAAACCCCACTGACTTCAATGGGAGTTGTGTGTGTATATATAAAAACCCTGGGTGAAATCCTGGCTCCACTGTAGTCAATGGCAAAACTCTCATTGACTTCGGTGGAGCCAGGATTTTGCCTATTGCATCTAAGGGTATTTGATTGCAGCAAGAGCAGGGCCAAAGCCAACTTCCGGTTGTTGAAATGGGAGGGAGTTTTGTTCCTTGCTCATGGATAATCAGAAATTACTAGGCTGAATTCTGCTCTCTTATTGAAATCAATGAGGCTCAACAGCGAGGAAGGATGATCTTGTTAAGGCAATCCATTGTTAAGGCATTGAAGTGGGATTTGGGGTCTGCTCCTAGCTCTACAAGTCTTCCTTATGTGACCTTGGGGAAGTCAGTCACTCTCCATTCCCATGGGTAAAACAGGGGTAAAAGTACTTTCCTGTCTCACAAGTGATGTGAAGATATTTCAGTTAGTGTTTGTGTGGTGCTCAGCAAATACAGTCATTGATGCCATAGGAAAATCTGAAAATTAATAAATAAATAATTGAGATCACTGGAGTTACACCAAGGATGAGCTTGGCTCATTGTTTTATATCTTTTTTTAAAGCTCTGGGAATTTTGGAGGTTGCTTTTCATAAGATTTGGAAATGGACTGTGGCATGGGGTGGTGACAGGAGGAGCTGCCAGCTTCACCTATCTTGAAGAATCGGTGGTCTGACTCTCCCCATGTGGTGCTTCTATTTCAGTCACTAGGTTTTGCTGCATGAATGAAAATTCAATGTTTCTGTCAGAGCTACTGACCTTCGCGTGAACTTTATGTGACAGGCCCAGAAATGTTCAGCTGGGAGAGTTTTAAATAGGTACTTTTGTACTGAGCTACTTTAAAAAGTAGGGCGTTTCCGTGGATACAGACTACTAGGTTGCAGGTGTGTTGTGATTAGAATTGGAAACCGCTGCACAGGGCCTTTCAATAAATGGATTGACTGTGCATGTACTTCATTTAAATGTTTCAACTCACTGACATACTATTCAGCGCCACATTTAGATGTGGCTAAGCAATACAAGGATGGCAGACTCACTGTTGTGACAGACATCAGCGTGTCTTGAATTAGCAGTGAGGGGCATAAATGCTTAGCATACTACCTCCTAACATGCATGAAGGGATGTTATTTTCAACAGCACAGAGCCTGCTCTGTCTTACTGTGACTGCAAAACACTGCCCTCGAACAAACACTAAAGTATCTGAATTACAAATATCAATTATGAAAATAGCAGACCAAATTCTGCTGTCAGACTGAAAAAGGCAAAAACATTTTTTCAACCGTACATTGTAACAAAAGGCAGTCTCTGGCAAAAATGCACATTTTTTAATGTTTGGAAAATAAAGACCCAAATTTTGCTTTGATTTACATCCTGTTAAACCCACTAGTAAACAGGGTGGCACAGGCTGTAATCTGGGGAAGAAGTTGTCCCCAAACATGGAAAAGAGCATATGATTCTCTTAAGATTTTTTTCCTTTAAAAAAAAAAAGTGTGCATGGGCATAAATTTGGCACTCATGACTAGTAGCACTGGCTAGCGGCGTGTACTGAGTGATCCTCCAAGCACAGATCTGCCTCACAGCTCAGTCCTGACCTACTCAACCTGATACTTCATCCCTAGGCTCCACTCAAGCATCGATGTTAAATCATACAAATTTGCTGAATCTTCCTAGGGATGCAGGCATGTTCAGAAGGGAGTAAGCTGATCCTGAACAACAATTTTGCATTTACAACCAAAACAGAATTTGAACTTGAGTCTCCTGAGACTAATGCATTAACATAACGAATATTAACTACTATGGGGAAGGAACGCAAGCCAAAATAGGAAAACAACAAGTTCAAGAATATTTAGATAAGTCAGATGTATTCAAGTCGGCACAGTCTGATGAAATGCACCCTAGGGAACTTAAGGAACTGGCTGAAGCAATCTCAGAACTGTTTGTTAGCAATTCTCTTTTAGAACTCCCGGAGGATGGATGAGATGCCAGGGAAGGGCAAACACCATACCCATCTTTAAAAAAGGGACAAAAGAAGACCCCAGGAATTATAGACTAGTCAGCTTAATTTTGATACCTGAAAAGATACTGGAACAAGTTACTAAGCAATCAATTTGTAAGCATCTAGAGGATAATAGGTGCTAATAAATAATAGCCAATGTGGATTTATACAGAACAATTTTTGCCAAACCTAATTTTCTTCAACAGGGTTACTGGCCTACTGGATGGGGGAGTTGTAGATGTGATATATCTTGAGTTCACTAAAGTTTTTGACACAATCCCACGTGCCATTCCCCCAAGCAAACTAGGGAAATGTGGTCTAGATTGAATTATTATAAAGCGGGGTCAAAACTGGTTGAAAGACCATATTCAAGGAGTAGTTATGGATGGTTTGCTGTTAAATTGGGGGACATATCTAGTGAGATCCCACAGGGTCTGTTTTGGGTCTGGTACTATTCAATATTTTCATTAATGATGTGGATAATGGAGTAAAAGTATGCTTAGAAAATCTGCAGATGATTTCAAGCTGGGAGGGGTTGTAAGCACTTTGGAGGACAGCATTAGAATTCAAAATGGCTTTGACACATTCAACAAGACGCAGTTCAATAAAGACAAGTGCAAAGTATATGCTTAGGAAGAAAACATCAAATGCACAACTACAAAATGGGGAATAACTGGCTAGGCAGTAGTACTGCTGAAAAGGATATGAGGGTGATAGTGGATCACAAAGTGAATACGAATCAATAATGTGATGCAGTTACTAAAAAGGCTAATATCATTCTGGGGTGTATTAAGGCATGGGAGGTAACTGTTCCATTGTACTCGGCACTGGTGAGGCCTCAGCTGGCATACTGTGTCCAGTTCTGGGTGCCACACTTTAGGAAAGATGTGGACAAGCTGAAGAGATTGCAGAGGAGAGAAACAAAAATGATAAAAAGTTCAAAATCCTGACCTTTGAGGAAAGGTTAAAAAAACTGATAGTCTTGATAAAAGAAGACTGAGGGGGGAACTGATAAGTCTTCAGATGTATTAATAGCTGTTATAAAGACGATTGTCATTAATTATACTCCATGTTTACTGGAGGTAGGACAAGGAATACTGGGCCTAATCTGCAGCAAGGAAGATTTAGGTTAGATTTTAGGAAAAACTTTTTAACTGTAAAGGTAGTTAAGCAGTAGAATAGACTTCCCAGGGAGGTTGTGGAATCCATCATTGGAGGTTTTAAGCACAGGTTAAACAAACACCTGCCAGGGACAGTCTGGGTACACTTGGTCCTGCCTCAGCGCAGGAGACTGGGCTAGATAATCTCTCAAAGGTCTTTTGCAGCCCTACATTTTTATGCTTTCTGTGATTAAACTATTACACCGCCAAACACCCATTTCCTGACTTTATATCTCATGGGCTGCCCTGATCTTTGGCTGTACAATTTAAATATACCTATACAAGAAAATTTTCATAATAAATTTGACCAAAATGTCAGATTTTTTTTTAAAGAAAAAAAAGGAAATCACCTATTTGTGTTGTAATGATCTACGAGAGCTGGGTTTGGTTATCAGTCCTGTTCTCTCATTCCTCAAGGGTTACAGAACTATGAAAGAAGGTCATGTAGCCCTTCAGGGGGAAATGGAAACCCTTATGTTGCTTAGGAAAATCCTTTCAGCTAACTGAAGGCGTGACAATAACAGGCTCCCAAAGGAGTCTCATCCAAACCTCCTCAACCAAAAGATGGTGTTCAAAGCAGAGGGCCAAGAGTAAAGTAAAGAGGGTGACACCCTGAAAAAGTGCCACAAGTTAAATAGTTACTTAATAGTAACTAAAACATGGTATTTATAATTTTATCAAATAATTAAAATAAGTATGACAAACAAAGTATTCTAACAAATGTAATTAGACATGGAAATACTTATAAATCCATTATAGGACATTTTTGATATTCAAATCATTTCACAAACCTAATAATCCTCATAAAGCCCTGTAACATACAAAAGTTGGTATTAATATTCCAGTTTGAAATACAGAGAAACTGAGGCAAGAAAGACACAGAAGAAGTTGATGTTAGAGATGGGACCAGGTCCCAGGAATTGGTGACACCCAGTTGTATGCTTAGGCTGCTAGGCAATATTCACATTACTCTTCATCTCCAATTGCTATCAGATGGCTCAACTAATATGGCTTCTACAGGAAAGGTTAAATTGCTGAGCAAGGTAAAGTATCAAATAATTACTGACAAGTTGGCAGTTCTTGAATAGTCAGTGTACAAATAAGGAAAAAATGAAAATTATTGTATGACAATAAAAGATGATCAACTTCTCACCATTTTCTGCCAGAGGAGCCAAAACTTCAAAAATCATCTCTTTTTTGTCATGTTCTATTTGTTTCTTGAATAGTTTTACAATCTCTTCGGCAATGTTTGTGTAGGCAAACTGCTCTTTGCTTGATTCTGTGAAATAAAAAGGGGAAATTGATTTGGTTTGTTTACACTCAAAGTTTTCTTTCCTCTTTATTACCAGGTTTATTCAGCACGATGATTAATTGGGCTAACTGCTCTTCGCAGACAAGAACAATACACTTCAGTACTTACGCTTGTCACTAAACAAAAAGAAAAATGTCTAAGACTTTAAGATAAATGTACTGACCTGAATTATTAATTATGTTCCAGGCTATGAAAACTTTGCACCAGCAGAATACAAAGGTATCCAAAGCAACAGTAAAATTACAAAGATATAAATTAAGACTTTGCCTTAAGACCAAAATGAAAAATTATACATCATGTACTGAATTTTCTATCGCTGAGATAAACGGTCGTATGGAAATCATTAATATTTACATGGTTGCATGCTGGTCGCATTTATTTTGGAATATCTACACAGCTGAAGCCACAAGGCCAGATTCTCTCTTGTGCTGTGGCTGCTTTATGCCACACCCCCTGCACATAGCAGTTCTAAAAGTACCATAGCTGGTCACAGGAGGATCACCCAGTGGTGTAGAGAGTCAACACAGTGACTCCTGCCCTCCACCCGCAGTGTCCAGTAGTAAAGGGGATGTGGCTGGTGTTGACCAGAGTCCTGGCAATCCCCAGCTACTATAATGGCCGCCTGAGGCCAGTGGCAGATGGGATAATTTACAGTAGCTTTCAGGCTGCTCTAATTAGCACACTATCGTCCTAGGATTTGGGAAGCGCCCTCTGCCCAACACTGTGCTGTGCACTCTCAGCTGCAGATCTGGGCCTCAGCATGCAGATTATATTCTTTTTTCACTTAAAATGCCTGGGTACAGAATGGCTTCTTCAATGGATTTTGATCTTAGTGTTTTAAAAGGGACAGGCCAGATTTTGACCTTCCACTGTAAATCTGGAATAACTCCATTGAAGCCAATTACATTATTCTGGATTTATATCCATTTAATTGTGATCAGAACCTGACTCCACAATCTAAAATCTGTTAGTTCTGTCCATTGATCTGTATCTTCATATCTCTAAAGAGTGGCATAAATGGAATCTCTTGAGGCCATTCATGTTCCACTGAAATCAGTGAGAGTTTTGCCATTGACTTCAATGGACGCATGATCAGGACCCTAGAGCAGAAATACTCAAGTGAAGAGCTGCAGGATTGTGTGATCCTTCCAAACCATGCTAAACTCTAGATCCCAAAATCTCCTGTACTGAAATGGCAATTTCTGCCCCCAAACATCTTGTGAGGCTTCCAATGGGGTCACATCTGAGGATAGTTTTTAGAAATCCCAACACTGAAGCAGCAAAATAGTACTGTCTGGGCCAAGGCTATATCTCACATATGCTTGCAAAAATATAAATAAATAAATAACATGTATTCACTTGCCACCATTTAACCCTGGTTTTTAACCCCTAACTTCATTAATTATAACTTAGCATGATTTGTCATTTAAATATCTTTCCCTAATTCTTTAATCAGGCTTCTTCATTTTTAAAACTATCCTAGAGACTAAGACTATTGTATAGCTTTTGTATCTGAGCTGAGTGAAATACTCTCTTGGGGTTACTCTCTGTAAGAATAGAAGGTGTTTCCTGATAGCCATATCTGGGTTCTGCAGTGAAATGTGCCCCAATCTAAAATGCTTCCACTTGGACTACTGTCTCAAGCAGCTTTCGTCCAGTCCATAGCTGAGCAGCTGCGGCTATGTAAGAAGCCCTATGGCTCACTGACTTCAGTGGGCTTTGGATCAGGGCCATGTTGCAGTATTGTACCAATTCTTCTCAATAGCATTTTCCATTTGCCCAAAGAAAAGGGAGCTACTTCCCAGCTCTTGACACGGTCTCTTTCGCCCTTTGCTTATGTTGAGGAATTTTAAGACGAAAAACATTTTAGGGCTTATAGCTTCACAATTACTCATTTAGAGCTAAATTTCCATAAAGGCCATAAAGCCAGCCTCGGTTTTTGCCCTGGCAGTTGACTCTAAATGAAAATGATAGTATCTGCGCATCTGACAAAAAGAGAGGTTGTTTTAAAAAGTGCGGCGCTTTAGAATTCGGGTGTGCTTTCTTAGGGCATATCTACACTTACCTCTGGAGCGATCAATCCAGCAGGGGTTGATTTATTGCATCTAGTGAAGACGCGATAAATCGACTCTGGTGCTCCACCAGAGAGGCGCAGGCAGAGTCAACGGGGGAGCGTCAGCAGTCGACTTACCGCAGTGAAGACACCGCGGTAAGTAGATCTAAGTATGTCGACTTCAGCTATGTTATTCACGTAGCTGAAGTTGTGTAACTCAGATCGATCCCCCCAGTGTAGACCAGGCTTTAGAGTAGGGCAAGTTTAATGCCTCTCATTCCATGAGGCAATGAGCGAGCTGCCTAATTCTGAGGCAGCCTAACTTAACTGAGTTCAATGAACCACTGTACCACTCCCACCCCCCCCACTTACACCTACAAGTAAATTGGTAAATTAGTAACACCTATTTTTACCCAATCCCCACCCTTCTTACTAGGCTTGTGCTCTACTTTAACACAGCAGGATGGGAGTTTTACATAATGCTAACCAAGGGAGTTAACTGCATTATGGAGAGTCTCCTTTATATTATTGAGAGGTAAGGACCAAAGAATAAGATCCTATGGTTACGAAACAAAATTGAAGTATTAATGTTATAATAAGACTTTCTAGTGCAATTCTGATATGGGATTAAATTATTAAAAGTTAAGTTAATTTTTTGCCAAACTGAGGGTATGTCTACACTGCGACAGAAAACCTGTGGCACTGAGTCCCAGAGCCTGGGCCAGCTGACTCTGGCTCGCATGGCTTGGGCTGCAAGGCTAAAAATTGCAGCGTAGACATTCAGGCTTGGGCTGGAACCTGGGTTCTGAGATGCTCACCCACCTCACAGGTTCCAACACAAGCCTGAATGTCTACTGCCATACTACGGGATCTTTTATTGCAGTGTATACATACCTATAAAGACCTGAAGATTGTACTCAACATATTCATTGTGCAGGTACAGCAAGAGCAGGACTCAGGCAAGTTTCCTTTACATGGTTCTGCCACGGTGTCTTAACCCTCATCTGAACAAACCTAGACCACCTCTGAGGATGGGAGAATAGTTCAGTCTCTATTTTCATTCAGCCCTGGGGACATCAGTGGAGAGACTAGCAAAGATTATTAATAATTAATGCTATTATTTATTTATCTGTATTGTGACAGTACTGAAAGTCCTCAGTAAAAATTGGGGCCCATGTGTGCTGTGTAACGTACACTCATATAAAGACATGATCCCTGCCTGAAGAATTTACAATTTAATATTTGCCATTAGTGTCAATTATGATAGCTCTTTTGTTGTTATACGGAAACTTGTCGACCAGGAGCAGTTCTGAAACTAATACACTGGGCTTGATTTAGGAATTACTGGGTGAAATATTGTGGCCTGTGTTATATACATGGTTAGATTAGATGATCATAATGGTCTCTCTTGCCTTCAACCCTATGAATCTATGAGCTATCTAATAAATTCAGGCCACCAAATGGCTATCAAATGCTAGCAACTTCCAATTACTTTGCCCTGGTCTGGAAATAACAAGCCCCATATAATCTATTGGTAATATCTCAAACCATCCAGCCTTTTCAGCGTTGCAATTTTATAACTGTTTCTTGGAATACTGCTATATCCCTTAGCAAAAACAAATCACAGGGCTACATGTGCAGGTGATTTGTTTGCATCAGGACAGAATTTGGGCCCCAGTTCTTAAAATGCCTGGAACTCAATTGATATTCTACAATATCACCAACAGATAATGAATGAATAATAAAATATAGAGCCAAATGCTGTGTTCGTTTACACTCCATGCAATCCTATTGAAAGCAATGGTATTGTACAGGTGAATCAGAGCAGAATTTGGGCCACAGAGTTGACCAAAATGTGATCTGATCAAATTTTACATGCTTTTTCTAAAATGCAGTTGTGATTTCATCTGCCAAGCTTACATCAACTCTTTCTTATCATTTGTAATTATTTATAAACGCAAGTATGTAGCCTAGAATATTTTTAATGGTATATATTCTTAATGGTGAGAGACAAGTTTATGAATCGAGTCTGTCCCCATTCCCATTTGGTGAATGTTTTCTTGAGCCAAATTCATGCCTCATTTAACTTTAAGTGGAATTAAACAGGGTCTGAATTTGGCCCTTTGCCACAGGTTCACCACTAGGTAACAATATTCAAGGAGAGAAACCTAAATAATTTAAAATACACATAGTTACATTAAATACATTTAACATAAAATGTTAGTTGTATTAAGTACCCAGATGAATTTGTTTGTTTAAAAAGGCAGACAACCAGCTATAAATTCTAAAGAGACAATAAGCAGCGCTCCCAGGATTTTTATTTTGCATACATTTAGAGGACTGAAAATTTCAGTTAAAATTAATTTGATTTAATCTTAAAAAAACAAAAAACCTTTGTTAAACAATTTGACAGTAGTTTGGGGTTATGATCCTGGACTTACCAAGTTCTGCTAAATTGCCAAATGCAACAAGGCACATTTCAGTCAGAGCTGCATTTTGGCAATGAATGCCCAACAATTTCACTAACGTAGGGATAACGCCCATATTGATAAGCTGAGATTGCAGGGTATCTATACAAAAAGAAAATACAATGACAAGTTAGCATTTCTGTTTGCAGTACTGATCTCCTTTGAAACGCAAACACATTTTGCACATTAATGCTGGAAAAATCATTAAAATAGCGCACACACGCAACTTCTAAGCTTAGCAAAATTTAAATACCTATCCCATCTACTCTTCTGTTTTAGGGCTGATCCAGCCATGGGATATAGATCCAAAACCTTCTTTATTTAGGCATGGGGTACACTCCCCAAAATTCCCTCTTGATTTGAATAGGGAGCATGCCCTACATGTCCAATTATTGAAAGTTTTGTATGCATCTCCCATGGCAGGAATGGGACTATAATAATTTAGTTGAATAAACAAAATAATATGAGTTAACACAATTCGACCCACAGTTCAGGAGACTCTAAATATATACTAGGCTTGATTTTGAGTATATCAGAAGTTTATTCCACTGAAGTCAACAGAGTTACATAGGTGTAAAATTGGTTTATATGAAATCAGAATCAGGCCAATGTTTCTAAATAGCACTTTCTCCACTTTCTCTTAAAATGTGTGTGTGGGGGGAGAGGAAGGAGGGGGAGAATGAATATACATAGGCATTGAAATATACATGAAAAGCTATATAAATACATGAAGTCACAATGTAGACTACGAGGAGCTTGAGAAAAAAGAAAGTTTAATAAAGACAAAAACATGGAAGTTGGAGAAAAGTCCTTTAAAGCCATTGCAATAAAATTCCTTTCCGAGAATGGAAGTTTACAGTATTTACAGGTAAGGAAGTTATTACTCCTAGATGTCTGCAAACAGAAAGATGCTTTATGATAGTTAGGAAGAAATATGACTTTTTTTTAAATTAAAAAACTGATTATTTATAACAATTTTTTCTGTTAAATGTTTTATCACACAGCAAAGAAGAGAAAAACATTTGTTTCACAGTTGAATAGAATGAAGTAAACATGGACATACCATATGCTAGTTGGCAATTTCCCTGAATCTTTTGATTTCTAAGACATTTAATTAATTTTAAATATAATGGACTCTTTTAAAGGGCTTGATCCAAAGCCCACTGAAATCAATTAGGTTTCTCTTTAATTAGGACCTCATCTTGCACAACTGAAATCAGTTGGAGATTTTATTTCTAAGAGAGCAGACTGAAGACCATAAAGAATTGCATAGATTTTACAAACAGCTCAAAAATATTAGTCAAATTTTGAGCCTATCAGATGTAGTGCTTTCTCACACATTCTGAGTTAGAATTGGAAACTGGATACAATCTTGAAAAGAAAAGCTATTTATAATTCTCACATAACAAAAGTTATGAATTAATTTCCTGAAATTTGTGTTCATAGTTTCTCTCTTCAGTATAAAATATTAGTTTGTTAATGATAATAATCAATAATCATGTGCACAAAATAAGCAGATGGCAACTTCAACTGTTACAGATTAATGAAGGTGATCAGGAATCATTATAATTGTGGCTCAGCATCTTAAATCAAATAAAATTATGTTACTTACCAGTAACTGAATTTCTTTTATTGGGTTATCTCTTCCAAAGAGCCGGATTCTCTTTAGGCATATATGAGAGCACCACCTCAGACATTATGGAGCTGTTGAAGTTGTCAAATTTCAGGTAAGTACACATATGCACTAGCGCATGCATTGAATGTCATTTTACCTCCAGACTACTAGTGTGTCACTATCACACCCTCCTTCAGTTCCACTGCAAGTTGACTGTAGTTCTCAATAGAAAGGCAGGTGGGATACAATGGATCTGTGGGGGAAATGAGCCAATAGGAGAACTCCTGTTACTGGTAAATAACCTGTTGTTCTCCTTAATTTGGGATTATCCTCCACAGATTCCTACTCTTTGAAGATTCTGAATTATTGTCCCTGAAGAAAGGAAGGGTTGAAGAGCAGGGGGAAAAAAGACACCAAGTGCAAGCCACATGGAAAATGATGTGAGTTTAGTCAATCTGTGGAAGTCACTTTGCTGTTGTTGTATGGTATTCGACCCTCTGGAATACATTTGCCTCCAGAGAAGTCACAAAGATATACAGGTTATCCATCTACATAGACTCTGGAAACTGATGGGCCCCTTGTTTCGTGTCCACACACAACACGGAATTCTAGTATCATAAACTTAAGACTCTTTACTCAAGCAATAATGTGTTCTGATGTCTTTTTTTTTTTTTTTTTTTTTTTTATAATGACAATATGTTCTCCTGGTACCCAGTGTCTGAGGAAGAGGACAAAGTGTAAAGGACTGGATAAATCCAAAATCTACCTTTGGGAGGAAATGGGCATCCTGAGGACTAATTTATTCTTATGGAAGACTAAGCCATACATCTTTCAGCAGGTCTTGCAGCTGACTGACATTATAGGCAGTTGAGATGACCAGTAAGGAAACAAAATAATAGGAGCATGGGACCAGAAGACACTACTTACTGTATGGATTGAAAAATTAGGCCTTGTATCTGATTCAGTAACAAATTCCACTCCCGTGGAGTAGGAGAATGGCTCAACTAAAAACAGGGATGTCCTTATAATTTATGTGGCCCTAAACTGTCAGTAGGGAGGAAATTCAAGCATAGATGTTGTTCTACTGAGCTGGAATTTGTGCACAGAGGGTGAATTGTTTTCTCCTTTGCCACAGCGCAATATAGGACTAGCTTGTGAATTGCAGAGCACGGATGGGATTCATGCATCTCCCTTGCCTTGCTTGTAATTAAGGCTGGCCCTGCTGTAGAATCTCTAACTTTCTGAGATGCCATTTAGTTCTGTTACTGTTAAGAATATGAAGTTGTTGCTGCTGGCACTAGGCGGCCAGGCTTTAATGTGCCTAAATTTAGGAAAATGCTTTTTCTTGAAGAAAATGAAATTGAAGGTGAGTTGTTGATGCTCATGTCCAGGGGATACCCTTGAGAAGAAGATTCTCTTAACTGAATTTAGCCTCTAGGTGATGCTCTGGGATGATGAGGGAGAGGTGCAATGACTGAAGAAAAGAATGCTCAACTTCTCCTTTGACAAAAGACCTGGATCGCTTCTTAGTTCCAGAGACTTTTGAAACCTAGAAGTGGTTCAGTCTTCAGATCAGTAATTAAGAGCAATAATGCCAAGCAACTAACAGCAACATTGAGGCTCTTCTGCTGATCAGCACAGACTGGATAATTCAGGAACATCACCCCAACGTTCCACCAGTGTGTGATCCAGAGTAATAGACACTCTGTCAATGTGTGACAGACACAGGGATAAATTCAGCCACAGAGTAAAGCAACCTGACTTCTGCTGAAGTTCCGTTGGCTTACATCAGAGCTGAATTTGAACCATCTGGCTTAATAGGAAGTAAAATTTTTAAAGCCTGAAGGCTTTTTCTTACTCTTAACACTTATCCACAGCAAATACCAACTAAAGTATGACAGTATTACATGAGGTCACAGTGAGAGCAGGTCCTACATGTTCTATGAGGAGGAAAAGCACAGTCGTGTGCGGTTACAGATGCATATACAAGGAGATATATGGTAATCAATACATGCGCTAGTGTAAACAATTACCTACCTAAAACTTGAATTTCAATGGCTCTGTGTCCTCCAAAGAATGGGATCTGGGGAGAATATCCCAAACTGAAGAACTTTATTTTGTGAATTTGAGATTAAAATATTAATTTAGGTTAGGCCAGGATTCTGGATAGGATTTCCAACCATCTTAAAGATATAATCAATGTTACTGATGGAACACTAAACGGAAAATCTGTCTCATGCAAGATTATGACAAATTAATTTAATCCCCAACAAACAGTTGCTAATATTCAACATGTCAATATTATTTTTTAGAGAATATACTTAAGTATTAAGTTATTATATAAAATTTAAGTGATAATTATTGTCCCACTATTATAAAAAATATACTTCACCTACTTTTAAATTCACTGAGCTACTTTTCGTTGTGTATAAAAACACAACATCATTGTTTTTCACTATATTTAAATATCTTTAAAGTTGCAGGCACAATTAGCATTTTTAGCTGTGATGCAAATGAAACACAAACCACAGCAGACAAGAGAATTAGCAAAGGTAAATCTTAGAGAGAAGCATTACTCGAATATTGATTACTATTAGGCCATAATGATGATACCATCGATCTCCCCTTCATTCCTTGTATAGTTACAGTTTCTAGAGAAGGACAAGACATGTTTTTTAAAAAGCAGAACATAAATCAACCCAAAGAATTGATTCCAATCACATACTAACTGAGAGTTTGCAAGATTAAGAGAGGCTTAGCTGTTGTATAATACAACATCTAGATATTTTACAAAGGCACTGAATGAAAGACAAATTTGACAGATTAAAGTTTAATGTGAAATGAAATGAGAAATTAATCTATAAACAAAAAAGATTATTTTATATATAGATTTATGTGCTCGCACACACACATGTGGTATCCACTTCGTTTCTTACCTATAACTTCATTGCCTAGGAAACAAAGTACAATTGGGGTGGTTTTTTCAACAACTGTACATGCAAATTTTACTAAAAGCGTCTGGGGAGTGCTTAATAAATCTCAGAACCATAATTAAAATTAATTACCCAGTTTGCAGTCTGATCCTGAAAACCCTTACTTACATGAGTAGTCTCAGCTCACAGGAGTGTGAGACTAACAGGACAACTCTCATTAGCAAGAGCTATTCACATGAGTAAGAGTTTGCAGGATCTGGACCGTATTTTGCCATTTCTCCCTCCGCCCCCATACATATACACAGAAAGATATATAGTGCCAGCAGATCTCTGGGGTGGTGTGGGGGAACATGCTGCACTCATTGAAAGGTGCCAGAACTGCTGCTGCTGCAGCCCAGGTACTCTGCCCCCTCCCTCCCCGGAATTTCTATGGTTTGTAAAAGCCAGAATTTAGCCCATTCTTTGTCATGTCATGAAGGAAAAGATCTACAAACACATATGGCATGTTCATTTTATTTCTAGTTGTACATAGAACATATCTTGCACTATTAGTC